ACATTGCACTGTGTTGACTCGAATAAACTCAATGGGAATTGCAGACAGGCGCAGACGATTCGAGAATCAAAGGCTCTTTTCGGGTAAAAATCGGTCCACAATGTTGTACCATAATCGAAGTCATCCCTTTATCCCAGAGAAAATACGAGATAAACATTAATCATATTCTGTTATGCATAGGCACCGTGAACACAAAAACGATCAGCATTGATCTATTCTCTTTTTGTCAAGCGCAACTAAAACCACTAAGAGCTATAAAGTGACACCAACCAGCCTGCAGGTAAATCTTCACTAACGCTTCATTAGCCGTCATTCCCTCACGCCTTTGACAACTTACGACGGGTGAACCCAACTATCTGAACTGCTCCCGTGAGGTCTGTGGCATACCCAGGCCAGGCTGAACCTGTGTCAGACAAGTCTGACCTAAATCACTTCCACTGCGTCGCGACCCCGCCTACCCCTGTGTTCCCTCTCCCCCGCTGGGGGGAGGGGGGACCAGCCGACTGCACCAGCATACCGTTCGACCCCTGATTGGGTTATTGGCACATCCGTCTCACTGATAACCGTGGTGGGAGCGCTGCCTCGTGACCGGACAGGCACTGACGCGGGCGACGTGTCGGTGATGGAATGGACTCCAACGACCACCGCCCGGAAACGTTCCGCCGGTCGGTCGCTTAGTTAAATAATAAAAAATAAAGCTAAGCTAGAGCTAAACAAGCGGCCAGCCTTCAATTATTTCATCCAGCATTTTATCTCAAACTTATTTTCTAGGATTGAAGTTCGAACACCATCAACTGTTCACACCCAGTTGGAGTGATCTCTCGTCAAGCCCCCGACGTCATTCAATATTGGATAGAGGTATTTATTGCCATCCTTTTATGTCAGCTCACGGAGAGCGGCACAATCACGAACATCAGAACTGTAACACACGCGAATGTAGCTTCTTCGTCAATGATCGGTTGTTATTGCTGCCTCGCTTCTTGATCAAAGGGCAAGGGAGACTGTCACAACGTCAATAAGGGTTTGAATGCAGCAGTGAACTAAAATAGCCAAAATAGCCGATAGACGACGGAGCACACTGGAAGACTGCCATTCACCATCGCTGCGGCAGCCGGCACTCGGCAACAGCCTGATCACGTGTGCGACGAGTGCCATCGGTAGCCATTATAGAGAGTTATGTACCGGTCACAGGCGGTCGTCCATTCACTGCATGAACGGCGGGCCGCGACATGTCATTGGCAGCTGTCCATCGCAGACCGAACAGAGGCCATTTAGCGGGGTCGGCGCCCCACATAGGTACGGGTCGATAGTCTGTCCCAAACAGACACACCCCACATCATCTTGGGGTACGGTCAGAGCGACAGGTCCGAACGAATATTGTCTGGCAGCCGTTTACTGATATTGTCTGGCAGCCGTTTACTGATCTGCCACGCCCAAACGGCGAAAATAACAAGGCTGGTAACTGAAGGACGAAGGTTTGTGGTCTCCGAGACCAGATCGTCGCCCTAATGTCTCGTTTGTTAATCCGCGTTTTCATGGACATGCTGCGTTCGTGTAACTGTCGTTACTCCACCAGCCTCAGAACCCAACCAATACGGCGCCGTAACCATAACAGACAACTGATGTTCAGCGCTACCACCTACGCTTTCAGACCTCAGCACATCCCTATCCATCTATCTCCCCTGTCCCGCACACACAAGACAGACAGAGATACACAAACACACATACAGACGACACACAGACGAGCCGAGGTAAGTGATAGGGAGTGGGCGTAATCTGATTGCCGTCTGTAGCAGCTCGAGGACACGACTAAGAAAACGACCGCTGCAGTTGACCCTATGCAGTCGGGGGAGGGGGGGGGGGGGGAGGGAGTGCTGAGGCCATCCGTTCTTGCGAGATTGGCCGCGTTGGCCGCAGAGAGTTGAAAGTTGGCGTGCGATTAGGTACTAGTGATCAAAATGTTATGATCAGACGGATCTTTTGGCACTAGTCTTATTTTCAGGTCAGGTCAGGTCATGTGACTGCGGGGAAGTTGGGCCCAGGGCCTAATCTCACCAAGACGCTTAGGAATGATCTGACCGTGTCTCAGACGTCTGGATTCTGGAACCATTTCATATAAAGGCTGCAGGGTTTTATGTTCAATTTTTTTTGGACCTTGAGTGACGCAATTCACCTGCTCCACTTGCTATTAGAAGTCATCGGAGTTTTCCACCGAAAACTCACGACAAAACTGAGTTGACAAGTAGAGCATAAGCCCCAATGAACATGCAGTCGGATCCAACGATATGAAACATGACATCTTCGTTCTTCGACCAACTTTCGGATCTGACCGGCTTTGACCTGAACTTGACCTGCAGTCGACAACCAAGCTGAGCTTTCCCAAACACAAGATCCATTTGATGCATTCGACATTTTGACCAGACCTCAGCACAAATAATGAATGCGCCTCCTTACCGATACACATGTTTGTTTTCCGCGAAGCTCTAACTCGTTATGGAGCGAAACGGCGTAGTGGGGTCATACTTGTACCCATACAAAGTTTACAGACCCGTGCAGATCTTAACAAATCTACAGATGGTTGTACGTACAATGAACATGGAATGATTGGCCCGATTGGCCAATCAACAGGCGAAGCCCGGGCCCGATTTCTGGACAATGAGAGGTAAAATCGAAGGACACTCTCTTTTTGTGTGTTCTGTAAATTTGGTGGAGAATCTAAGTCAGGGATCGGCAAATGGTGGGGCATGCCCCCTTTGGGGGTAATGGAGCCCTTTCGGTGGGGGTAATGAGGGATTCTGAGAAAGCCTATCTTTTTAGAGTTTGTAGCTCCAGTGATGGAGCCATCGTGACTGTTGCATCCCAGGGTTCAAAGATTAGCACAGGCCAAAGGCACAGCACACATTGATTAGATACCAATTTTCATGTACCTGCTCGCCTCACCATCTCACCCCTCCGTACAGTCGTACAAAAGCAGCTGCAACTTTTAACCGTAGCCCGTCTGTTGGCGTTTCAACAGCCGCTAACGTAAGGGGAGGAGTCGATCGGACCCCGGCAGCCTCTCGGACTCTGAGATGGAGCTGTGCATAAAAAAGACGAGCGTGCTACCCGTGACAATAGGAAGCCGCTGCTGCCCATTTTTAAGGTCCTTGGTCATTCCGTCTCATTCAAGAGGGCAATGACAAGTGTCGAGAAAATCGGGACCCGCTATAACTTCTTGAAGTGAGATTTTATGGCTCAAAATGATCTCCAGAAAAGCTCATAAGCCAACGGTCATTATGGGTCCAGAGGCCAGTTTCACCAACAGAAAAATAGCCGCCTGCCGGAATTTTTTGCCTAAAGATCGTTTCACATATGGAGCGTAAACGGTAAAAGCCCTATCCGCTTACGAGCCCATCGCGTTTACGCTCCGTATGTGAAGCGGTCTTGAGGCAAAAATTCCGGCAGACGGTTATTTTTCTGTTTGTAAAACTGGTCTCAGGTCATGATATTTTCCGGGCTGGTTAAAAAAAAAAAAATGATGGGCTCGAGGGTACAATTTGGTCGTGATCCAATGCCTTTTACGTGAGCTTTTAACGAAAAACCACCCGCCGCTCCTATACGTACGGCCCTCCAGCAAAAGAGCGGTTGGTTAGCCTATGTGCTTTTGGTGCAATAACTTTGAATGACAGAGACACTCCTGTAAAATGACTCAATAGAAATGAGAAGAGGGTTCGTGCACACTCTTTGGCAATGGTTTTCAACAGCCATTAGACGTATTCATCAATGCAGATCGATTATTGTGATGTTGGCAAACAACCACTAAATACCTGGAGGGCCGTACAAGGGTTAAATGGGATATAGTATAGGCGGCGGAACGGGGAGGGCACCGGGGCACCGTGCCCCCTTTGATTTTTGCATTTTAACATTAGCCCTATGGGCGTTGCATGGAAAGAATGGGACCAAAAGTCGGCAGTGCCCCACCCCCTCCCCCTTAATTGAAGGTGTTCCGCCGCTACTGGGATATAGGTATTAAATGTTTGTGGAGGAAGTGTCATGTTTTAAATTTGATGCATTGTAAATGCACAAATACCCAAAGAGTTCCAGGACGGTATGGAATTTCAGTAAACTTGGTTGTGTCAGCAATGGGGTCTGGTAGGTGGGGGTAATGGCCCTGCCTGGCGCCCAAAAAGGGGGCACGACCCCGAATGACCTGCCGACCACTGATCTAAGTGAACAGTTATTGACCAAATCATGAGATGGAGCATATTACACTGATAAACGATTTGCTACGGAAAGGATAGGTGTGAAAATTATATGTTTTCACGTTAAATCAAATCGACATTCGATGGAAAGTGACACTCGGCTCTACGACAGGCGATGAGCTAAACAACTCGGCCCGGGCGTATACATACACGTCATACACCGAGCAGTCGCTAAACCCAGAGCCACAAATCCCAAGCTAGCCAGTGTCAGAGCCACACACCCCAAGCTAGCCAGTGTCAGAGCCACACACCCCAAGCTAGTCAGTGACAGTGTCCACTGCAACTGCCATCACAGGCATTAGGGGCACGACACAGCCGGACGCAATAGTGGTCACGTCTCGCCTGAAGCACCGCCTCTGGATAACTTCACCGCAGACTGTTACCCATCAGCGTCGGCTCCTGTCTCGGAGTGTGCTGACAGCGCTCCACGCGCCCAGTAACCCGACAGCTCAGTGTTGTACGCCGACTCCTCCTAACGAGCCGCACTCGGGTAGTGATTGGCGACACGCCAGCGGCGCTGATTACAGCCACCTAATCAGTGGTTGGCGACCAGATCCAGAGGCGCCGACTCCACAGCCAGGACCTGGTCACAGCCGCAAACCGTTCACACAGTGATCCTATCGACTCGGCTGGTACCGGTGGTACAGTAAGCTGGAAACGATACGGCCGCCCAAGGTGTCATCAGCTTGATAATGGCTGCCAGTGTCGTCTTTTTCCTGTGACGCGTTTTCCGTCATATTTTAGGCAGGAAAGCGATTGTTTCCTTCTTCAAGCATTCTACTTAACACACGATTGGAGCTAAGTTCGGCGGAAGACGACCGTATTTTGAGATTGTCCCGATGGGTTTGCGTGGTAATCCATATCCGGAACAATAGGTGCCCAGTATCTGCGACGTTAGGGCCAGGGAGCGCCTTAGATGGTATTAACTAATGAGTACATTATTTATTCATATGACCAACATTAGTGTGACAACAGTAAGTAGTGGTATATCAAATCATCACGATTTCACCATTGCTGGAAAGCGGAGATCGTCTCTGGGTTGGGCGTTTGTAACAACGCCACGCCAGCACTATTGTAAATTGTACCAGTTGAACCCTCCGCTCGGAATGCCAAGCAAACTGCAGCTACACAGTCACACAGTTATAACAACACAGCACAGTCGATCCGGGCCGCCGGCAGTCTTATCACGCGCCTAAGCGTTCTCACGGGATGAGCTTTGTTCCAAAAAAGAGCGTTAGAAAGCGAGCGAGCGCCGACAGCGCCCCTGACGGGCGGTGTGCAGCGCCTCTAGCGGCCAGCCGCGGAAACAGTATCTGACCTGCGTCCGTCAGAGCTCTGTCTTGGGCGCGGCCGGCGGCGAGCGCATGTATGAAAAGAGCGCGTCCGCTGTGCGCTCCCCGCTGTAGTCGGCTACCGCCTGGCCGCCGCGGAACAGCTTGATTGTCGGGAAGCCCCGGATGTCAAATCTGGAATAAAAAGGGAGGAGAATTGGTTCGTGCTTCGACCCGTGGTAAGCGAAATAATAAGCTACCTTTACCACGGTGACTGAAATCAAACCATGCATGAAATAGCAACTGACCACAGACGCAACTATTTCCAGAAGCTTCAGAAGTGTTTCCCATTGTGACTCACCGGTCCTGGAGTCCCCGTTGCACTGTGGCGTCTACTGTGGCCAGCACACCCGCCTGGCCGGACTTTGCGAGGCGCGCCGCCGCCTCCGCATAAGCGGGCTTCATCCGCTTACAGTGGCCGCACCCTGGTGGTTGATAAATGGGTCACACGTGTGGACGGACAGACGATGGTTCTGACGGGGTGACACGTATGACATCAATAAATGACTGACGGCCGGAATAACTAGAGGGGAGTCACAAACACAGCAGAAAGAACCAACTCCCGTGTTTCCTCAAATCGCTCATCTCTCAAACCGACTCGTCCTGTCCTTACCGAACCCACTCCGTACCAAGCCTCCCACACTCACAGGGCGCATAAAACATGACGAGCATGGGGTCCGCCTGCCGCGCCGCCTGGTCGAACCCGGCGTCTGTGAGATGTTTGAGGTGCTCGGCGCCCGGCAGGTCACCCCACTCCTCCTCCGGGGCGGGCGCCGGCGGCGCGGCCGACAGAGGGTTACTCGGGTCGCGCATGAACTTGACAAAGTCCGATTTCTGTCGAATAGAGCGGTGAAGAAAGCGTCAAAATTTGTGTGAGGTAAAGCCACAACTGTATCACAGGAAAGGCGATAGATGATGTTTGATCTAAACATTAACCACGTGAGCACTGAGCACTGAAATAAAACAAATATCCGGTTGCAAAAAGTCAAAATGAGTTAGAACGCAAAGTCTTGCAGAGACGATTTGCCACGACAAAGTAACAACCATCGTTACACCTGTCCTACAATTATGCGATTAGTGTCGAAATATGCGATCGCTATTATCAACGGCTTACAAACAACGGCTTCATACCATCTCATCTCATAATTCCACACTTTCATTACGCCTAACCCACTGATGTCCAACACTGTCCCAAAGGTCATTGAAAAAAGTAATCTCTCCACAGACGACACCACTAAACTATCACCCCTGCCCCAGACGTACCGTGCGGCCGCCGTCGTAAGGCTTCGACGTCTTGAAGTAGTTGTAGTACTTCATCGTCGGGTAGCCCTTGACGTCGTTGGCATTGCAGACGGCCGTTTCCACCGTGCAGTCCACCGCCGCGAATTCCACCTGTCAAAACACAAATGATGAATTGGTTGTGCTCATTGGTAGGGTAAGGGCGCAGGCCAGCTAGTTACTGTGCAGAAAACTGCGATGAACTTAGCAACTGGCGTTACCGCAAGCCACGGACACTGTCAAAATGGAACAATGCCTTTCCGAAGAACTATGCAGGAAATCGTACACAAACAGCTTGTTGTTGACTTCACCGCAATGCCCAGCCGGTGAATAACACAACAAAAGCTTTTGATCCACCAGTAACCGATGACAATAGGGAACGGGGACAACGATTGCAACCCCCTATCCGGATGCCGCAGCTTTCAAGCAAAACATTTTACGTGCATGCATACTTGGAGTCCACAGCCGACCAAATGCCAACTGTTTACCGCTCAGCGATGCTTGCACATGTGTTCGGTACGATCACATGACGTAGTACCTAAATGGAGTACATCAAATCGTTCGGATATAGCTAAACCTCGTAACGTGACCCCGTCCCCTTCAGACTGCCCCCTGGACATTAGCCTACCTTGGGGTCGTCACTGAACTCCGCAGCCGCCGCGCTGAACTCGGGCTTGGCCTTCTTGCAGTGGCCGCACCAGGGCGCGTAAAACATCACCAGAACGTGCTTCTTCTTCTTGAGGAAAGCCTTGAACGTCTGGTCGGTGAGGTGCTGCACGTCGGACGTCTCCTCCGACCAGGGCGTCTCGGGCGGCGGCGGCTCCTGCGGGTCTGCCATGAACTCGAGGATCTTGTCTTTGTCGCGCACGTTCAGGTCGAAGGCCATCTCACCGTCGCGGAAGTACTTGACGGTCGGGTAGCCCTTGATGTCGTACCGACTGCCAATCACCTGTCGGAGGGGCGATGGTAACACGACCGGCGTGGATGGCACACGAGCCCCGTGGTAGATGACTTAAACATGTCACAACAAAGTCAATAAAAACAGCAGCATAGATGGAACCGTAGTGCAGCGTTTCGCCTGCATTTGTATCCGAAGGTCGGGACTTTTCAATTAGACAATCACTATTCTTTAGAATTGTGATTTTCTATATCGAAAGTCCCCAATACTACAGAATATTCGTCACACAAAGTTCCATTGAATGTCAAAAAAAAAAAAAAAAAACAGACTGTCACCCACTCGACACCAAAAGCTCCCATTATCAGTGACACAAGACTACTCAAACATTCTCCTAGCTCTGAGATCTTCGACTCACCATCACTGGATGGGTGTTCTCTGGCTCACCTTATGTTCGGTGGCATCTAGTGCCGCCAGTACGCCCGACTTGCCGTTTTTCTTCATGGCAGCGGCCGCCTCCTCGTACTGGGGCTTCATCCGCTTACAGTGTCCGCACCAGGGAGCGTAGAACATCACCAGGACGGACGGGTTGGCCTGCGAGACGGCACGGCCGGCGCGGCGGTCAGAGAATAGCAACGGTGTCTGAAGCTCCAGAAATAAAATATGTAACATCGTACGTTAGTGTATGTGCTTTGTGTGAAAGATACAAAGTGTACTGTTAAAAAGGAGCAGACATTATCGCTCAACACTAAGGGTGCAAAAAAAAAAAAGAACGAAAAAGACGGTGAAACTTAGTGCTATACCTACAATAAGCATAAAACTTATTTTCTACAATTACCTTGACAAAGTCGTCAAAGTTGTTGTCGGTGAGATGGACCACGTCGCTGGGAGTGTCGGCCCAGACCTCCTCTTTGGGCTTGGGCGCCGCCTGGCCGGGGCTATCCATAAACTTCATCAGACCGTCCTTGTTGTACTCCCCGTCATACGTGAACTTTACGTCGCCCTTCCTGTGAATAGAATGTCAGCAATACATGATTGATACAACCGACGATTAGTCCGCCCTTAGGGGCAACAGCAACGCATTCCCGTGACGCTCAATCGACCCGGCCACGAAACTTAGTACGATAAATAACTGTCACGACTCAATAGTCGCCCCGGTGGCGCCGCATCCATCGCCCACTCACACAAAGTAGAGAAGCGTGGGGAAGCCGGTAATGTTGTACTTTTGCCGCACGCCGTAATTCTCCGGCTGGTTGACGTCAATCGCGGCAAACACGTGTTTGTCTCGCGTCTCCGTGGCCGCTGCCGCATACTCGGGCTTTATCCGTTTGCAGAATCCGCACCAGGGAGCGTAGAACATGACGAGCGCCCTGTCCTCGCGGCGCAGCAGGCCGGCCAGCGCCTGACGGCAGACGCACACCGGTCAGCGCGCCGACGGGGGTGTCGGGTTGACACTTGACAGTCGCCCACCAGGCCTCTCCTCAGTGTCAAATGTCGTGACATTCAGTAACTGACCATAAACCCTAGAGAGCAGCGTAGGTCCGTTGTCTATGCATATCGGCTGTGTTCGAGAAGGGGGCATAAGTGAGCTCATGACAAGTGATTTTACGTATTTCCACAACGACGTGACATTGATTATACACAAACCAAGATACACAGCGAGTGGGGGGGGGGGGGGCACTCAGCCCACGAGCCTTCGGTACCTGAGCGTTACTGAGGTGAACCACGTCCTCCGCTGTGGCGTCTTCCTCCCAGGGCAGGTCGCCGGACGGGTCCCGCATGAAGTTCACCATCGACGTCACCGTCATCTTGCGGTCGTAGTCCTTGTGGAAGGCGCCGTCTTTGTAGTGTTTCAGCGCCGCCGGCTCCGGCGCCACCTTGTATTTCTTGCAGATCTTGCGGCCCTCGCTGCGGGAGATACGCGATAACCGATGACATTGACCATATGTGCAGCAATAAATATCCACTGTGTATATCAAAGAAACGACGGTTGACGACATAAACAGAGTCAGAACTCAGAAACATCTCAAAAATTGACCTGACATGTTAATTGCTCAGTAGTCGAGCATGCTTGATAGATAAGATATCTGATATCTTCCAACCTATGAGAACCATATGGCACACGACGAAAAACAGTGAAGTGGCAGCGTCGCCAGCCCTGAGCCGCCGAGCCGTAACCGTACCCGCTGCAGTCGACGTAGAACACCGAGCCGACGCCCTTGACCTGTTCGGCCGTCAGGCCTACCACACGCTTCATCTCCTTGGCCACGCCGGCGCTCTTGACGAACAGACAGAGCACGTTCGGCGTCGTCTTGAGCAGCTTCTTGAACTCCTTGGGGTCCTGCACGTCGACGACGGGGCTGGCCTTCCTGGCCTGCTGCTGACTCGGCAGCATGCAGCCGGCCTGGGCAGCGGAACAGCGAAAAGGGGGCGTCATTTGGGCCAGACCGATGCTCGGTGCCTGTTTCTTTTAATCTGTCTTCTTAATCTTGACCAGTGACCACTAATTGTTCGAAGAAGTTCATTAATGAGAGGGAGAGAAACACCAGCAAGTTGACAGCATAATCAAATAACGATGACACAACTGATTCGACACTTATTTGTATTCCTATAGAGCTCACGAAATGCTACTAGTTTGAGCTGTGAAAAGGCTGTGAGCTTGCCTGAGCTGTGAGCTCATTCTTCTAATTGCGCTGAGAATCAATGACTAGGGGATGGACCAGACACCTCGACACCTTGATAGGATTTAGATGCCTGAGACTTTACCATCATATGCCAATGGTGATGGGTCATGAACTCCTAAACTTTGGAGAAAGCATCACAGCTAATAGGAATGCATTTTCTTAGAAGACCACAACAATAAAAGGTCTTGCCTTGCAAACAAGAATACAGCACCTGCAATATGCATGCTTGTTTCACACTTTACCAATTAGAGACTTTAAGCAGCAAACCCAGCAAAGGTGTGCAGCTATACTTTTTTGTGCAGGTTCTGTTCCAATATTTTTAACACATACTTATATAACACAATTTTCTTCTGTTTGCTGTAGCTCATCATTTATCCAGAGATTCAATCTGATCCCTTTTGAAAGGTTAGTTTGAATTGAAACAAGTAAGGTCCCCTTAGATGAGGCTAGGACAGAGTTACAGAAACATACTGTTCAAAAATAGCAATCTGAAATGCCTATACATGTTAATAATATTGCAAAGTACCTAGGTACTCAAAAGCTCAATACATTTACCTACTTTCCTGCTAAGACTATCCACAGGCAGTTGCAGACAATTATACATAGCTTACCAGAATAAGTATGGCCAGTAAGGCTTTTTGTGTCCAAAGCATGATGCCAGCAGATTGTGTGGGAGTCACTGACACAGCACTTTCATCAAAAATGCTCCTGAAAAGAAGAAAAATATTGAGGTAGCTTGATGCACCAAGCTAACTAAAACACATATTTATTTTTGCATTCAACTATGTGAATTTTATGACAAGTGACTTGCTCTAGTGCCTAGTGGTTTGTGCTTAAGCAATGAACTGTATCACCAGCCAAACAGGAGTAAGGTAAGTTACAAAATATCCTGGACTAAGAGTTTAAAATGCCCCAGCACACTGATGCTGATTTCCTGGTCGCTGTTCATGCATAAGTTGATGGAACATCAGTCATACTCAATAACAGTATGCCCACACAATCATTTCAGTTCTAAATCAATAAGCATGCCAGTGCCAAATCACATGCTCTAGCTCATGTCATATTGACATGAAAAATATTGAATAGCATTGGCAAAGGCCACATGAGAATATTTGTCCATTCATTTCACATACAAATTTGCATTAAGTTATGTCATAATTCAGGCAGCCTGGTAGGCACTAGGCACATATTCCAGGCTCTATCACTCAGCACTTATTCAAAACTGAAAAGTTAGGGTATTTAAAGTTGTTACCTTACTCATGATTAATGCCAACCAGCAGCTAAATAATCAGCCGGCAACATTTCATCTCACAATTTAAGCTAAAACTGCAGTCAGTATGTAGCCTATGGTCTTCAATGTAAAAGTAAACACATAAATGAAATGAGCATACCTAGCAAAAGCTGGAAGCCCTGTTTGGAATATTTTTATCAGCACTCTGCTAATTTCCTCGTATGTGGAGGCACAGTTCTGATATTTTAGGCCTCTTGTTAATGAAATACATGGGCAGGGGACATGATTATATTTAATGAGAAGCTAGAAAACACCAGTATGCTGGCAGCCTGCTGATAAAAACAGTGACGGATCACCAAACAGCAGCCTGTGAAGGGACCCTAATGGAGGACAGGTAAGACAGGTAAGAGGATGCTGCAAACTGAAAAATTAATGATCAAGAAACAGATGATAATATGGAAAACCTATTCAGTTTCAATAAAACATGATAAGACAAACATTCACATAAAAATCACTTCCTTGTCAGCTCCAACTGAAGGTCAAAGTTGAAACGAGTGTTGGTGTATATCACATCCCGAAAGCAGCTCTCAAAATACTACTAGCCTGAGCTGTAAATCAAGTACATATAAGACTAGAACCAAATCAACAATCATCAAATTAAAAACTCAAAAACATCATACCTCTACTCTGACTCAAGCGACCAACGGCAGGATAAGCAACCATAAATCTTCTGCCGTGTAAAATGGTAGCATTAAAGGGACCCTCCCACCTTCAAAAAAGTTAATGAATTGGCATGAAAGTGATGTCGCTCGGTTCAGAAAGAGCAAAAACGAATATCTACCAAATTTCATCGAAAAATATTCACCGGTTTTCAAGATATTAGACTTTTACTTTTGTTTACTTTTTGGGATCTCCGCTGTTCCTAGCGACTTTATTTGAAAGTGCGGCATTTGTTGCGCGCAAAGCAGCATATACCACCGCGTGCTACAAAACGTTTTAGTCAAACATTTAACGGACGTTCGAAAGCCTGATGACGTCATGAGATTCCCGTAATTGTTAAAGGGACCCTCCCACCTTCAAAAAAGTTTATGAATTGGCATGAATGTGATGTCGCTCGGTTCAGAAAGAGCGAAAACGAATATCTACCAAATTTCACCAAAAAATATTCACCTGTTTTCAAGATATTAGACTTTTACTTTTGTTTACTTTTTGGGGATCTCCGCTGTTTCTAGCGACTTTATTTTAGAAGTGCGGCGTTTGCGGCAGATGTTGCGCGCAAATAGCATATACCACCGCGTGCTACAAAACGTTTTAGTCAAACATTTGAAAATCGTTAGATATCTGCGCTGACGTCACACATTCAGAGGGGTATTCCTAAGCATTAGCCCCTCTGAATCAAAATGCTGCAATTTTGAAATTCAATATTTCCGATTTAAGGCATTTCTCGATGTTGTGAGTGCCGAAACCGGTAATTGTGAGCCAGGGACCCCATTTTGGCTATCTCAACTCAAATCTAATGTTAAGGTGGGAGGGTCCACGCTGGTCCCACCCTGCAAGTAAAGGGAAGAAATTTCTTGAACACCATAAAGCTGCGGGGTTGCGACCAGGATAAATGGTGGTTTCTGAGCCTGGCCGCAAACTTGGCTATCTCAACTCAAAACTAATGGTAAGGTGGGAGGGTCCCTTTAAATTTGCGCAGGCGTGCAGCCATATTGAAGTATACCCTCCTCACCTCACGGGGAATAACTCTGATATCTCTGAATTTGCTCTGAATAATTCAGGCCGCGGACAATACTAAACCGAACCGAGCTTATAAATGCTGGATGACGATGAAATAACTAAACCAAATCATCTAGTATTGCAACTTGCAAGGTATAGTAAAAACGTGTATGTCCTATACTGACACAGCGAAAATAAAAATCTGGTCCCTCGTGAAGCCGTTTAGGCAAAGTATGACTCCGGATTGGCTCCGCAACACCGATTGACGGATGTGACGATGGAACGATGTCGGATGATGAACACCAAAGGGCGAATCAGATCATATCTGTATTGTATTGGTCTGGGCCATTCTCAACTCACCGTGTGAGCCTATGTACTGTGTACGGGCCGGCACGGCTCACCGACGTGACCCAGATATGGGTCAGCGCATCATATGCACTGACCTCGGATATACCCGGGCGGTGGGTCAATTATCCCAAGAATCTTGCACTATCCGGAGCAAGCCCCATCAGATGGGTCAACCGGAGGCGACAGTGGAGCCAGGCTCACATTTCTCACACACATCGGACTGGGACAGTGGGCAAGTGCCAGGCACCGGGCCGAACGTGGGGTTTGTATTGGAGCTCGCGGCCGTTCCAGCCGCCCACAGAGGGCAGACATGGTGCGCGTGGCAGTCACCAGGTCCCGGCGGACGGCGCGGACCAGACGAGGGCCGCACCGCAGCGTCCGCACACAGTCGTCTGGACATCATCCAAACAAACCGAGCGCCCGACGTCACCGCTCTGAATTAGAACGTGCGCGTACACACTACACAGTGCGGCAAACGGTCAGACTGGGCGCACATGGTTCAACGACTAGGAATATAACCATGCGCACAGCAACGCGATGAAGGTTAGACCTGTACATACGCATCAATCGACACAGGGTTAGACCCGTATATACATAAATATGTGAACGATGACCAGCTCTCAAACTCACAGTCAAGAATGGGTTTGCAAAATGTGAAAATGCACCAAGCAGACACAATAAAAGTATGCAAAAGTCTCTGACGAGGGTCCGAGTTCTCAGCACGGCACTGTCACCGGTTCGCCTCTCCGACCGTACAAAAACTGCCAGTCCGACCAGTATTGATGACAAACGCTTTAGAAAACCACCCGGCTCCTTCTCACAGCCAACAGGCAATGACACTACCGTTCCCGGCTAGCGATTAGATACGGCATAGTAGCTGCATCTAATGGAAACACAAATCAAACACACGGGCCACGCTCCCTACATTACCAAACCAACCCGCATTCACAATTCAGTCGGTAAATAAACTGGACTGCTTTTCATAAGCTCCATGAAAGCAAATAACTGCGTTACATAAGAAAAATAAGGAAACATTTCGCACCTAAATTCTAAACACATCGCCCGACATGGCAAAACTACATCAAACGTCAAGTTACGAAACCTCCCATAACACCACGCGTCGAACTCCCCGCAAACCAGCACTTACAACCTCCGGACCCGTCTCAAGTTTCCTTTCTGGTCAGGTACAATCTACACGCATTAAACACCTAGACTGGTAAATCGTTCAAAAACCCGCCTGGCAGTTAGCATTGCATTGGATAGCTCCAATCAGAGAAGCTCCCGGCCCAAACCATGTCGCTTGTACTCCCCTGTACAACTGGGGACTTCATGAATCTTCACATTGAGTTTATCAATGCAAATGCATGCATTCTGATGTGCATTTTGTTGACACATCCTAGCGTTTTGTTGTTCATTGGTTTGAAAATCGACTTTCAAGTTTCTTTCGGCAATAATTTAACACGTCCGATGAACCGGCTACGTCTTAGCTCATGCCTGACTTACCAAATTCAGCTCAATGCCCAACTTCTTATGGATTCATAAGTGATGTCTTATCTCGGCAAACCGACTCGGGTTCGTTCTCAGTAGCTCGACGCTCCGTACCCCTGTCGTATTTACACTCTCAATTATTGTACCGATAGGCAGAACCGTAGGCTCCTCCTCCATAGGCGCACCACGGCACCACCACCAGAGGAGGGACACCACCAGACTGCTGTTAGCGGCGTGACGCGAGCCGTCATCACGAGGGCCGTGACACGCGGCCGTCCTTGTCCTGATGCCTCGCCGACATGCAGGCCACCACGTTGTTGCGCAGGTTGTCGAACATGGTGGAGAGTCCCTCGAAGGCGGCGTCGCCGATCAGTTGCCGCAGGTGGTTCTGGTAGTGGGTGAGCTGCTGGGCGGAGGTGCGCGGCGGGCCGGCCGGTGGCGGCCGGTGGTACGGTACCGGCTGGGTGGCCAGCTCCGGTGGCGCCGCGTACAGCCGGTGCTGCTCGGCCGCCGCCGCCGGCGGGGGCGGGGGCGGGGGCGGCCAGTCGCCCGGGTACCGGTGGATCAGCTGGGCGGCCACGGGCGGCGCGCCGTCCGCCAGTCGCACCGGCTGCAGCTCCACCAGCCGCGGCTCGGTCACCTCCGCGGAGCTCACTTCCTCCAGCTGGGGCCCACCCTCGGCCGGCGCCGGCGGCTGGCAGAACTTCAGCACCGAGTCGCGCCGCGCCGCGCTCTCCGATGGATTCTCAGCCGGCAGCAGCGGCGGCCGCGGCTGGAACTCAGCCGCCGCCGGCTCGGCGGGCGTCTGGTGCGGCTGGCGACCGGTCCCCGTCCGGCCGGCAGACACCGGGCGGTCGGAGCACACCGCCGTCACCGACACAGCCACGGCCGCGGCCGCCGAGAGCCCCAGTGACACCGACCCCGACACGGAGAGCGCGCCTGACACTGCTGACACTGCGCCTGACAGCGCTCCTGACACACAGACCGCCCCTGACGCTGCTCCTGACAGCGCCGCCGACACCGGCGGCGGGGCAGGGGACGTGGCCGGCGGAGGAGGCGGGCTGTCCGGGTTGTCCGGGTCTGCCTCGGTCGCTGTGCCCGCGGTGGTGGTGGACGTGTCGGCGCGGATCTTGAGTCGCGCCTCATCCCGGCTGAGTCCGTGCGATGCGGCCATGTGGCGAGCCAGCGTGTCCACCCGTCGGCTGGTGACCCGGCAGAACGGACAGCTGAACTCCTTCTCCTCTGCGGAAGAGCACAGGGGAAGGGAAACTGTCAATGACACCACCCAAACGGTGTAACGGGACGCAAGCAAACTATCTTAGCTGAGGGTAGTAATGCAGACTACACATCTGTCCGCCATGACAATAATGAATTGAAATCAAGGGAGCACAAAGATGGTTAAGGGACACGACACCACTCTACATCACTTCAAGGAGACATCCCAAACTAATAAATTGTCTCAACACCAGTGAAAACATTTCAGTCGGCATCAGCACAGTCCATAAGCCTGGTAACAGCCGTTTCCCAGTCCCTACCCCGACACCCTCAGCCGCTCCCCCTGTCCCCTCTGCCACTGACCGGTGTGAATACGCTGGTGCCTGCGCAGGTCCGAGCGGCGAGAGAAGTGTTTGCCACAGCCCGGCGCCGGGCAGCTGTGGCGCTGCGCCGGCCGCGGTAGGTCGTGACACTCGCGCAGGTGCTGGGCCAGAGTGGCCGGCGTGCGGTACAGCTTCGGCTCGGGACAGACGGGACACCGCTCCTCGGCGCCGGCTGCGGGGACACGGAGAGACGTCAGAGACACCGGAGAGGAGCGATCAGCAGAGGGGAGGGA